TTGCTGCCACACGCGTAACCCTTGCGATCTGGCACGCGGTGGTTTGAGTGCGGTAGCCAGCCATGTTAAGCTGACATCTGTCAGTCAGGGGAAGATCTACTCTGTCATAGACCAAAAAAGACGCATTAGATGAGCACAAGAACATCGGGACTGCCATTTCCTGGGTCAGACCCTAGATCCATCTTGCCCGTCTCCCGTGCCACAGGCTGGCAGCAATGGATGCTACACGGGAGTGACGAACTGGGTCCGAACAGAGGTTTGTTTCCCCCCTACTTCTCCCGCTTGCAGCCTCCAGCGTTTCATGTCTGGGAAGCTGCGATTCAGGGGCCACGCCCCTCGCTCCCCAAGCTCAACAGCAACAACAGACGCCGCTTTCCTCCAAGAGCGTGTCCCATCCCTTCACGAACCTGGCTAGACTCTCAGCTTCCAACACTTCTGCCGGCAACAAGTCCCACCCGTTAACGACCCGCTGGGTGAAAAACAACATCTCGCGTTCCTTCCATGCCGGCTGCCTGCTCGCCTCCCGTTGCGACCCCTCGCTCTCGTCTAGACAGACTCAACCCTACGCCCCGACCGACTCCCCCTTCGCCATCGGGCGCTTTACACGCCCGCATCGCGTCCTGCGCGAATCCGGCAGCGCTAACCGAAAGCGGAGATCTTCGCGCGGGCCGGGCAGGACGCAATGGGGAGTCGATATCTCACACACGCGAAACACGTCCCCCCTCAAGGGAACGGGCCCGGCCTCGTCCGTCCCTCCCGCTTCGGCTCTCGTGGGGCATTTGGGCAGAGGCGGACTCGGGACCCGCTACAACGGCAGGGGCGGGACAGCTGCTTCTACCAGGTCCTCCGCAGAGCGGCTCCGGGTTTGTGGGGGGCGAGTGCTGGGAGAGCTTAGGGGGCTTCCCCCCCCCGCCCGCTCACCCAGGGGCACGGGGTGGGTCTGCCTCGACACGGGGACGGGGCTGGGAGAGCAGAGGCAGCAACCAGGGACGCCCAGAAACCGCCTAGAGCTGCCCCGCCACAGCACGGCCCAGCACGGCGGAGACCCCTGAGGGGACAATGCCCCCTCCCCCACTGAGTGCTGGGAGAGCTTAGGGGGCTTCCCCCCCCCGCCCGCTCACCCAGGGGCACGGGGTGGGTCTGCCTCGACACGGGGACGGGGCTGGGAGAGCAGAGGCAGCAACCAGGGACGCCCAGAAACCGCCTAGAGCTGCCCCGCCACAGCACGGCCCAGCACGGCGGAGACCCCTGAGGGGACAATGCCCCCTCCCCCACTCCCCGCCGGCCCCTGAGGGGACAATGCGCCCCTCGGCCCGTGAGGGAGGAGGCCCCGGCGCAGGGCCGCACGCACCGGCCGCGCTGTAGGCGAAGGCGGCGGGCGGCGCCGAGTGCTCCGCCAGCCCCCTTCCGCCTCGGAGACCTCTGACCCCTGACCCCGGGAGGTCGCGCAGGCGCGGGGCGGGGCGTGTGCGTGCGTATGTAGTGGGGGCAGGAACGTGCCCGGTCACGTGAAGAGGTGGTATGCTCTCGCGAGAGTTGCCGGCAGGGGCAAAGGTCACGGGGTTGCCTCGGTGACGGGCAGGCCGCAGTATGGGCCTGCTCTGGCTGCTGCAAGCCTGGGGGTCGCGCCCCGCCGCCCGCGCCTGCCGCGCCGTGGTCTTCGACATGGGCGGCGTGCTGCTGCCCTCCCCGTACGCGTGCGCCCGAGGTGAGTGCCCGGCCCCCGTCATCCCCCCCACCCGGGGCGGCCGGTCTCCAGCAGGCCTGGGAGGAGACGGGCTGGACGGGGACGGGGATGGGTAAACACGACCTCCTCGCTGCGCAGACTGGGAGGTGCGGAACGGCGTCCCGCCCGGCACCGTGCGGCGCGCTGTGGCCTGCGGCAGGCACGACCGGCCCTGGATGAAGTACATGCGGGGGGAGCTGACGGCGGACGAGTTCGTGCGAGCCTTCGCGCGGCAGTGCTTCGACATCGTAAGCCCGCCGCCCCGCTTCCCGGCTCTTAACGCTTCTCTCAGGCCTCCGTAAACCCTAGAGACGCCGTAGCACGCGCCCACCGCTCCGCAGGCTTCACGCTGCTCCCGCCTCCCCGGCGTCGGCACCCCTCGTGTCACCGGGTGGGTTGAGAAATAAAGGAGTTGCGAGCTGTTTCCCTTCCTAGTGTCATCCCTGGACTCCGGCACCTTCCCCCTGTAGAGCTAGTCGGCGCAGGAGCTCCCGGGCGCCGTAGCACGAGCAGCGTAGCCGGCGAGCTCTGTTACAGGGAGAGGCAAGCATCGGCCGGTCCCTTTCTCCGGGTGATGCGTGACGTTTTATTTTCTCTGTAAAGAGGCTGATGAGCGTTTGGGGGGGTGTTTCTCGCTCCTCAGACAAACTCCCCCGTTCCGGTGGACTCCTTTCTCTCCGACCTCACCAGCAAAGAGATGTCGCAGCAGCTCCCCGCGATGACCGAAGCGATACGGTGCATCCGGGCAGAGGGCCTGAAGACAGCGGTTCTAAGCAACAACTTCTACCTGCACAGCGGGGCGAGCTTCTTGCCCCTCGACCGAAAGCAATTTGATGTGGTAAGCCCAAATGTGCTCGGACGTACGAAAGGCACCCTTCGCGATACTTGAGAGGCAGGTGCCGAGCTAACGACAGCGGTGATAGCAACGCCTCGGGCACTAGTGCGCTGCGTTGGGTACGTCCTGTGAGGCACAGCTCTTGTAACGGACCCACTGGGTGGGTTTTAGTGAGTAGCGGGCGCCTACGTTTTCAGTGGGTCGTCGCAAAGTGCCGGCGTACTGCGTAGACCTGCTTCTGCTTACGTATTGTGCTGGGGTCCCGTGCAAGAGGCGTTATATAATTAGCGCGTCTACCCTTTTGAAGCACTCTCCACCTCGATAGGTCTGAAAGCACGTTGCACGTGACATGCAGGCTGTGCCTGGTGTGGTGTCCCATAGCTGGCCAGCTGGCATCTTCCCGGGGAGAGAGAGGGCCATTGTGGCTACAGTGCAAGCCTCTGCCCTTAGTGCAGGAGCTGAATGGGCTGCGGGGAGTCAGCACGCTGGACTTTTGCATATGCATATGGGGTTTTTTCCCCACTGGAGGTTGCCGCTGTGTGTCCCAGAATCCAAGATTCGGTCTAGGCAGGTAGGAGGCCTGGCCCTGGCGTGGACTCATGAAGAGGGATAGATCAGTCCTACGTGAATGTGCTCTCCTTTGCGGGGTAAGCTAATGCAGGCACCGTGCCGGGCTGTGGGCAGCATTGTGAGGTCGGAGCTATTGGATGCTCCTGAACTACGGCTGTCGTGTACGAAGAAAGTGATCTTTCCTCCACCACGCGCTGGCTGGTAGAACATTTGCTCCTCGAATACTCCAGGCAGGAGCCTTCCTTGTCGTTGGCTCTCAGTTAACCGCTTGGCTTCACAATCATTTTAGCTGCCTTGTGGCTTGTCTTTTTAGACCTAAGTCAATAATCAGGTTTTTGCTGGCCTGTCACTTTAAACCTGTCTGAGCTTTCAGCACATTCCAGGCTCGGCCGGGACCTTTGCACTCACTGTTTCCTCACGTTTGTTTTAACCACAAGTTATACCTCGTTCACGCATGTTTACTCGGGGCAATCATGAGTGCTCTCTGGTTAGATGAACTATTCGGCTTACTCTAGATGTGGCCCTATTCTTTCAGATCTACTCCTAATACATTAAGAGGAAAGTTTAGGTACTTTCAGTTCAGCCCCTTCTGAATGACATAACCTTGAACACAGTCCTCTTTTGCTGTGTGCGCCAGCAGACCTCTAAAAGTTTGGCCTTGTTTTATAGCCTTAATGAGGCAGGGGGAAAAAAAGCGTGTGTGAAGAAAAGTCACCTTGTTAACATAGGGATTATTTTCTGTTCAGTTTTCATAGTGAAACTGGCCTCTTAAAATACCCTATTCTAATGCTGTATTCTGTTTCTATAATGCCTTTTCTTCCACACAGTTTCAGAGCACAGAAATGACTCCATATCCTGTGCACAGAACACACCCTGCAATGAAATGTCATCACCTGTGGAATGCGGTTGCTGTATAACAGCTTCCGGCAACATGAGGCAATACTAATATAGGACAGGAAGTGAAGGAGAACGTATGCCTTAGCTCTCTTTCTGCAGTGCCTATCAATGTGGTCTCTAAGCAATAAGCTAATATTGCATCCAATTCGAAGTAGAGTGGGAATTGATGGAGACAAATGTTCTTCTCTAGATTAGAAGGGGGTCAGAAACCCTGGGCCTAAGGTCTCTACTGCTGGGATGGCTGATAAGTGTCACAGTCAGGACTGTACTTTGCATCTCCTCTGACAGCAGTACATGAGCTGCTGGTTTAGCACTAACTCTGGGGGAAAGAGGACCATCCACCGTGTCTTCTCACAGCCATATTCCTTGATGGCTCTCCAGCAAGAACTGGTTGGTGCTGCTCAACCTGTGCTATCTGGCACTGTCCCAGCTGAGGCAAGAGGCAGCAAAACACTCATTCAGCTGCCTGGGTCAGCTCCTTCCCACCCTGTAAGGATGACAGCGAGCACAGCCCTGCCAGCACCCTGCCCCTTGTTCATTGTGCTACACAGGAGTGTCACACTTACTCGTGCCCTCTGTTCTTACGACTTCCCTGATGTTCGTGAACAGGAATTGCGGTGGCTTTTTGTGGAACTGCTTCCAACATGGTTGGTTTTTGTTGTAGATAGTCGAGTCCTGCCGGGAAGGGATATGCAAGCCAGACCCTCGTATCTACACGTTGTGCTTGGAGCGTTTGGGCGTCCAGCCAAATGAATCCATCTTCCTGGATGATATTGGCCAGAACTTGAAAGCGGCAGCCCAGCTCGGCATGAACACACTGAAGGTACAGAGCAGCACTGGCACAGTCACCTGGGGGTTTGACTTGAATGGGCTGCGTATGGTTACCCGAGTCTAGCCAGACTTGCGGTATTTCATTCACTGCCCATGCCCATAGTTTTGTTTGGCAAGTGAGCGCTGTCACTGCAAGGCTGAACAAGGGGTCACTGTCAGGGTCTGAGTTTTCAGGCTCCATTCCCCGCTCTGCCTCCAACTCTGCACAGCCTTGGGCATGTTAGTTATCTTCTCTGCGTCTCAGCTCCTCGCCTGGGAAAGAACAAAATTTGCCCAACAGAGGCCTGGGAGACTGACCTCACTTTGGAAGCAAGCTGCGTGGGGGCTGACTGGCTTACAGGGTGAAAGAGGGTTTTGCTGAGGAGAAGGGAGGTGGAGACAGAGGATGGGACCCCTGGAAGGACTGAGTTCTGCTTCCCTCTGGCCCTCTCTGGGGACATTCACACACATGTCCCAGCCTGTATTTGTAGTGCAAAGCCTTTTTGTCTTCCAGGGGAAGGGCTTAAAGGGCTGCAGAGAAGACACATGGAAATAACAGGTGCTCAAAGGAGACTAAAGTAGCCTTAGTTTTGCCTTCAGCGCATGGTCATCCCAAATGGCCCATATGGACCAAACAGTTGGAAGTTTTTTACCCATTTACAACCTAACCTCTTGCCCCAATATCAGGTCGATGATCCAGAAGTGGCTCTCAAAGAGTTAGAAAACTTCCTGGGTTTCCCTTTGCGGGGGGCTGTTCCATTCACTCGCTCTGTGAGGCCAACCATGGAAATCCCACAAGTGCCTCTGCAGAAGTACCTGGAAAATGTCCTAGGCAGCCACACAACAGGTATCACAACTCTCCTGCCCTACAGCCCTAAAGATTTGTTGTCTCTTTCCTGCACAAGACTAACGGGTGTGTAACAATCCTAACACTGACTACTGGGATGTAACAAAGCACTCTCATGACTTGAGCACCTTCTCATGCTCTTTTCAAAAGGCTGGTCTGTTTGAAGCATTCTTGGTAATGCTTTCTGAGATCTCATGTATGATTCTGCCTCATTCTAATTCCAGACATTGGAATTAGCCTCATTCTAATTGCCAGCACCGTGATTAGCTGGAGTGCAGAGGGGTGTGCGGCCTGGCCAGAAGCCTCTGAGTACAAGGCCTCTAGATGGCATTTATTAGAGTGGGGTTTTCTTTGCTCAACCCTTGTTAATGGGTAAGAACTAGTGATTGATGCTGCTGGCAGGCGCTCACTGCTTGGCCAGGGGATTCCAGTCGCTGCCATGGCCACGCAGCTCTGGGACTGCCTTTTGGGACCAGAATGAAAGTGCCTTGTCATCTAGAAAGCCTTAGATTAAGGCAGGTTTTAAAGCAACAGTGCCAGATCCACTGTCATTTAAATATGACCACTTGCTGTAGCTATGCTGCTAACCACAATGTGGACTATTCTGAGAGAGAATTCAGCGTCTATCATTTCCCTTTTATGATTCAGGCAGGTTGTTTAAGTGGCTACTTCACTCTGCTGCAACATTGTAAACAGACCGGGAAACTTTGCTG